GATTATGATGTCTTGCTCTCATACCTGGCGACCTAGCCCGTCACAAAGAAACAATACCAGAGTTTTAGGACTGCACAACAATTGTGCTCGCCGTGGTTCAAACACGCAGCTTCAGGATTACGGTCTCCGCAACTCAGAATTGAAATCTCACATTCTACCACTGAGTTACGGGGACTTAGAGAAGGAGGGTGCCTGTATGGGTCAATACATGGCTTGAGATTCGCGTGAAAGGAAGAGAAATCAGTTCCCTAGTAGATCTAATTGCCGTTATCCGAGATTAAGAGTCTGACCGACTATCGGAATAAGGTAGACGGGCTTCTCACTGAGGAAGGAGGCGAGTAGCGATTTACTGTACTGAAAAAAAGTCGCACTATTCTTCTGTGATTGCCCCTAACCGATTTGAACGACTGGCCTCTTCATCGCATTACTGGGTATACGAGCGAAGCGCTCCTGAGCTAAGGAGGAAGATGGCATTAGTAAATCGACGAGGACTGAATCGATAACCACCCACTACATCTGGATGCTGCATAATCATAACGAAAGCCAAGACGCGTACTTCGGTGTGCTCGGAAGGAAAAGTCAAGGTGACGGTGTGGCATTATAAAAACTTCACGACTACGCTATTTTGCTATGGTTCGACCCAGATTCGAACTGGAGACCTTTGCTGCACACTCTCCTTCCGAAAGATGCGATGACCGACTACACCATCGAACCGATGCTTGGTCCCCAGCCCTGAGCTTATCAAATGCGCGAGCCCCTTGTCCCGTGTTCGGCTCTACAAACCTTTGAGCTCCACGTGTTTTGAATGTAGAATAAACTCAAGCCGTTCAAAGACTCCGACATACTTGAGGTTTGCATATCGAATACTACACTTTCCTAATGCAGGAAGGTGGGCGCAAAGGCGGACGTGAGAAAACGCATATACCTCAATATCTTTATGAGATGGGACCTAAGGTGATGATCAAGAAGCTGACAAAAACTCCACAGGGCTATCCATCAATGGTACGAACTCGATTCAGTGTTGGCCATCGTCGACCCACATTCAAGTTGGCTGGGTCGATCGCCCTGTTGGCCATATCAAAGCTATCCGCCACATCACACGAAAAATGTGATGAATACCGAGAGAAACCCATGGCATCATCATCATCCATTTCTCATACAGTAATATAAAGGTCATGAGGCGTGTATCATGTTCACGAAATACGCATCCATTAATCATCAAGCTGGAAGGCACACTTGGTGATTGTGGCATCCGTTCCAGTACATATTGCCCTTGGAAACTCCAATGAACGCTTTTTAAAGATTACTTGCTATGAAAAAATATATCATTGAAATGGCCGACACAACACTAGCTACTTAGCTGAACGTTCTAGCCGTAAGTACAGGTTCTTGGGATCTCAAGGTTCTTCATTCTTTCACCCGTTTCTTTCATCTCCTTATCCACCCGCATACCCTTTCATACCATTGCTCAACGATAACAGCCCTTCGCCCTGAAACGTTATCGATAACGAGCCCCACGCCGAGATCATCATCGAGTCTGGGCAGAAACGAATCGGAGCATCAGATACACATCCTTTCCACGATCATACAGTTGATCACACAGTTGATCACCATCACAAGAGATACGATAATCATATTGTTGGGGATTCTGTAGTATAAAACAGGTTGAAACGTGTCAAAGTATCCCCCCGAAACATGGTGTCTGTACTTTTTCTCATATCACTGGTTCATACGGCCTTTGTCCACTGCACAATCATCATGCCGGATCATCGATGGAACGTACGTCGATAGCTTGTGTTTGTTTCATGTTCGAAGTCTTATCGAAAAAACTTAGAGACCAAACATAACAATCACGAGGCAAGAAAGAATAGACCTGGCGTCACAGGCATTGGATACAGCTGTAGCAATGCTTGATCCAAATATGATTCTTGTGGGTACGTTTTGAAACAATGATGTATCGATGGACCAAGTATGCTCATAGTGCTATGCAAGATAACTCTGGTGCTTCCCCTCAGAATACCGCAAGACTATTTTCCCAGCTCGCAGCCTTTGATAGGATAACAAATATGACTAGATACATGAAGCCTGCCCGGACGTATCATGCTCTCCGCGGAGACTCTGGCCAGGGAAATTTGACCATACCTACCATTCCCCACATGCCTAATGAGTGAGCGATCACTGTAGTCTAACGATACTATTAATTTATTCTCAGTTAGTGACGGGGAATATCTTGAGATGATAACTGGCTCACACTGGCAGATTGACTCTATGCTGTACGGGCTCAAAATAGGCTTAGAGAGCGGATCGTTAAAACTATCACTACGCTCAATAAATGGCATGATGCAGGAGAGTTCGACACGATAGCGGGAGTGTTTGACGGCCACGACGACGCACCATGGAGCGTAATATCTCTCAACTTTGGAGAGCTAATATTCAGCCTATCAATTGCATCGCAGAGGCTGCCAGCCTCGAGTGACATGCAAGCGTACATTGAAGCATATCATATTTCCCACCAGGTGCGCCTCTTTCCTTGCGGATCTTCCGTAGCTTGACCGGTGGGGCATGGCCATAGTATAATACCTTGCTTGACAACATGACCTCGACGAATCAAGCTTACAGCGACTGGAACAATACCAACTCATCAGAGATGGATATAAAAAGACGGTTATCCATATCATACATGCTACTTGCAGGGATTGGAATGCCAGAAACCACTCAAGGGAACGAGACATCACAAACAGAAAACCCACCTCGCCTTTCGGGAACCCAGTCTAGAGTTCCTGTTGGACCCATTGTAGGGGGTAGCATCGGCGGAGTGATATTTATCGCAATATTGATTTCATCTTGTGTCCTCTACAATCGCCGTCGACGGCCGCGGAGTCAGCTCGAGCCATCCCCAGATAACACTACTCCCGAACCGTTCACGTTGGAAATCTCCCAAAAACAACTGGTCACTGCCAATAACGCACCAAGGGATTGGCAGCTTAAAGACCGCAGCGGTCGGAATTGGGTTGGAGATGGAGAGGGTACGGATGCGGCGGATGTCGCCACACCACGAAACCGAAGATACTCTAGTCCTGCCACTTTGGTGCCAGTTCAAGACCCGATTTCGGCGTGTGAGTCCCAAGTTCTTAGCTATGAACATAGTGGTGTATTGACAGACGTTCTAGCGGTGAATCAGGCTGATCAAGAACGGGATCATGATAGCGGATGGCGACCAAGCGGTGCGCATCGCCGACTTCCTCCCACATATGAGGATGCCATGTGATACTCGATTGATGATGAGAGGAGAGGCTAGAGTGATGGTGTATAGAACGGGGGCAGGACTGTTAGCTTCTTGGCTAGGTTTATACCTCTGTTTATCGCGGTTGTGTATATTATTGGTAATAGCCTGGCACGTTTGGTCCAGTTTTTTTTGACAAATGCAAGTATCATGGATATTTTGGACGTATTAGATATCTTGGAACGTGACGATCCATAGTATCACCCAAAAGAGTCATCCACACCCGACCGGCCCGCTTGCACACCTTTTTGCCGCTCTTTAGACCAACAAATCACCGAAATATAACCTAAATCAGCAAAAAAGGGTTGAAAGGCCGCCCAGCAAACTTCACCTCCAGAAGCTCGTGTCAGTCTCCGGTCGGTATCTTTACATGTCACTCAATGGGAGGCTAGAGCTCCTGGGCGAGAAACCGTGATCAAAGGCACTTGACTTTTAAGACGATAGCAGTGATTAGCGAGTTGTTCGTACACAGTACGTCAACAATACATAGCATTACAGAGAAAAAATGGGATTCATTGAGGTCGTGATGGTTTATACTCTTGCGTGAGTGACGGAGTATGGGAGAAGAGAACGGTATTCCTTGAAGTTGGAGAGGGTTCGATCAATGTTCGAGTGTGAAGAGTACGTTTGTTGTTCTGATTTCCCTCGAAAGAGTAAACGCATCTCATTCCCTTTTCCCTTGGATGAACAGGAAAGGATTAATACCCAAAGACTACAGTAAACGTTGAAATTCATGGAAAAGGTCAGAAAAGCGACTGCGATAACGAACTCGCACATTGAATCCTGTGTCCAATAGGTACGAGGGGTTATATTGAACGTGAGGTTAGGCAGTGTTTGAATGGTATAACACGGAAATATCGTGGTACGTGCCTCAAAAAAAGTATTGCGGGGGAGTATAGCCCACTGCAAAGGTCCAACTCGCAACCATCCATTGCTTGCATCAGGGAGAAGACCTTGATGCCGCCGCTATCATAGCTTTGACAGCGTTTCCTTACATTCATTGTCAATGAATCACATTTCTAATATCAAGAATTCTTTGTATATCTCTCGCCTCCTCAACTGTTGAAGCGTCTCGACGCTCGGTGCGTCTTGTGGGAGCGCTGACCGGTGGAAACTAATACAGGTTTGTTGTCATTTGATACCACCAAGCAATGTGTCTTCCAATGCAGATATCTTGCACCAGACTGCGAGGAAAGCTTTCAGGATTGCGGAATACTATTGAGAAAGATCAGCAGATGCGGACAATGATGCAAAAGGTATGTGTCTCTTTAACACATGAACCTCTTTCTATCTTAGTAAATTTGCAGCGTATAGTAGCTCTTGCTTCATACGCAATCAACATCTGGCGGCTCACGAATTTGTCTTAGGCCCAAGCCCCCGTCGATGCTCTCAAGCCTACCCACAGTTCCAATCCCTTTGTCTTCCACCAACACGTTTAGCAATGGCGTAGGTGCTAGGTTTATCATATCATCACCAGGAACGAGTATGTATGTGAAATCCTTGAGTTTTTTGCCGCTGCTCCCCATCTTGTTTCAAGTTCTCGTAACGTTTGCTTCTAGATAGTATTTCCAATCATATACATTGCTCGTATGTCCTGTCCATGTAAACAGATCAAGTCCAAACTTCGTGTTTGCTGCCTGTATTGAGAGGCATGAAATGGAATAACAGTTGTCTGGAAGACAAATAAAAAGCTTTCCGTATACTTTTCAAACCAATATTCCGTTACAGGGAATCGAACCCTGGGCTATCGCGGAACCAGTGACCGACTACATGAGAGGCGATAATGTTAGCCACTACACCATAACGGATACACGTACTGGGATCCTTTTTACTTGTCCGTGTGACTCGGGGATACTGAGACGAAACTACCTGATAGATAGCTCTATATACTGTGAATTGCTGGAAGAATGAAAAGTGGAAGAGAAGCAGAGATGGGAAGAAGGATGGCGACATGTGTTTACGACATCAGTACTAGGACCTCGGACACTGCGTCGCTTCGTTTCTTTTCTTCGCCTTTCATCATTAAAACTCATGTCCCCACAATCGCTACAGCTCTTTCAACGTCTGTCGTTCCTCCATTCATCTTACAGCTTGAACTTGCAACCCTTTGTTAGCTCTAACAATAAGCATTGTGGGGTAGATTGGATGATATTGACGAAAGGTACGTCCTCCGACGCTCCCGTCACGATTTAGCGTTCATTCGTCCTGTTTCGGGCCAAAATCTCTCTTTCCACTCAACCTCGACATTAGACATACCCTCACCCCTCACAACCATGAGGCAAACCCCAAGAACCCCAACTCCCAGTTTTGCGGCCGTGCACCCATCGACCGCGGTTCGTGCATTATCGTGCTCCTTCTTTCATTCATTTCATCGTTTGTCCTTCAGAACCGAGCCCCAAACAAAGCACGAACGATAATTCACACCATACGAGCAGGTTGAGGTACGTTTACTCTATTCCTCTAGGTACTTCGGGTGCTGATCAATACCCCGTCCGATTACTCTATAAGATTCACCTTATCGGCCGATCGTTCTCATGCATGAAACTCGCTAAGAGAGGAGAGGATACAGCCTGCAGGATACCATCAACGTGCGTTTTTCTTTGCGCCGTGTTTACCCATATCCACTACTTGATAGAATCAACACGGTCATCCTGTAACGCCTACCCGAAGCATACTGTCTTCGTTTTCACGTTGGAGAGTGGTTAGATTCTTGCATCCATATCATTTCTTTTCGTAGGTTCGACTACACTATACCTTAACGGTGCTGAAATTGCCTTTAGCGGTCATCACGCGTTAGTCATTCAAAGGCTTCCTGGGGCAAGCAAATGAAGGGCTGGAATCGTTTTCTAGGAATTATAGGGAGTGTATCACCCATGACGCTCATGAGTAGAATAATTAAGCTCGTCTTGGATCCATGGAGGCTGAACTTGTATATACTTCGAGATCTGAACATTCGTACTGCATAAAAATCAACTGGAGTTCTCTACGTATCAGTGCCCGGCGTGGTTCGAACACGCGGCTTCAAGATCGTAATGGTAAGATCTCAGCATTGCAATCTCACACTCTACCACTGAGTTACGGGCACATTCCACACACGCGCGGACTGTCCCTTATATTTCGGAATGCTTCTGATGGATAAGAATGGATCGCAGCCTTTAGATGTCAAGCTTGTGGTGGAGTTTGACGCTACGTCTCATGTCATGTCTCGGGTGACCTATTTCCTTCTGGTTGATGTCGGGATCAAAGAGAAAGTGAGTTGCTTCACAAGCTATAGCCCCTAGTCGATTTGGCTGACCTCTTCATCGGCATCGAGGCTATATAAAAGCAAAGCGATCTACTGCTGAGCTAAGGGAAAGGGAGATGTTGCAATGGTCAAAGTCTGCACAACGCAGGGATCACTTAGTCGGGAATCAAATACCTTACTTCACAATCGAGAAGGAATACTTATATGACAAGATCAGTCCGGCCTTTCTGGGGTCTGCAGAGCATGGAGCCGATATCATGCTAGCAGGGTGGTCTCCCCTATGCAGACATCGGCGCTCGACAGCTAACTATCAGGTTGGCCAAGAGTACCTTGCTGATCTGAGTGTTTAGCAACTATAACACGACGCTCGGAAGGAAAAGTCAACATGACAGTGTGGATATGTAAAAACTCACCTGTTCTGCAGTGTATGGTTCGATCCAGATTCGAACTGGAGACCTTCTGTGCACAAGTCACTCAGGCGATGTAAGACAGATGTGATGACCGACTACACCATCGAACCAATGGTTAGTAGTGTAGCAACATACAAGGAACATAGTCTCTCCAGCTTGCCGAGTATTAGCGTGAACAAGGAATATAAAAAACGTGAATTCAACCACCTACTTCCGTTAATACTTCTGATATTTGCCTGCTGGTAGCATCGTCGAGGAATGAAATTAATGAAATGTGATAGAAGAGAAGGAAAGAAGAACGACACGTGTTTACGACATCAGTAGGACCTCGGACACTCTGGTTCGGCTCGTTTCTTTCTTTCGCCTCTCATGTCCCCACAATCGCGCCATGTAAGTCGTCCTTCCATTCGCATCACAGATTGTGCTAATTCATCTTTTGCTAGTGGTAAGAACCAGCATTGTGGGGTAGATTGGCGAAAGGTACGTCTTCCACTGCTTTCGTCGCAATCTAGCTTTGAAAGCATTTGTCCTTTTCTTGAGCCCAGAACCTCTCTTTCCTCTCGACCTCGACGTTAAGCATACCCCAAAAACCATGAAGCGAAGACAAAGAACCCAAACCCTCAGCGTTTCGGCCCCAGCATCCATTGTACATGGTTTGTGTATCACGCGCAACCTCCTTCATTTGGTTCATCATTTTCCTTCCAGGAACGGGCTCTAATCCGACCACGAACGATTCCTCCAGCTACCACGGGCGCTGGTCGTTATCTGGCTTGATTACAAGATCCATCTTCTCTACAGTCAGAAGAACTTCCGCCGCCTCACCTCTGAGCAGAGCATGAAGCCGCTCCCCGGGTATAAAGGAAAGGATACAGAGCATATTGAATACAACGTGCGTTTCCATCCCAATGTGATCTTTCTCCATCTGACTCATGTCCGTTTCTTCACAGGCTCCACCATGCTTTTGGGCTCCGTTATACACTCTTAGTTCCCAGCACGTATCTTCAACACGGACATCCTCCTCCCATTGGAATCCACGGACGATTGCTGACACCAAACGTTTTGAGTTGATCATACGATCAGGTGTGCGAGTGCAATCTCTCCGTTTACGCCAAGCACTGATTGTTCTCTCCCCGGGTTACAGGTTCTACCTCATCTAATGCCGAAGGAACACCAACTGCCACGCTCTCGTATTAGACGGACACAGGGTACGGCTTCCCCCATTTCCCTTTCTTCATACGCTGACCCTTCTCTTCCAGGCTCCGCTATTGCTTTGTCTCGATTCCACCAGACAACCACCCTCGCTTACCGACCATCCTCCTTTCAAGACAGAAGATCCGTTCCCTTCCTTCCATTCGGCACTCATACCTCGCCCTCACGCCTACTTTCCCCTGCCCAGCGCTAAACGTGTCATTTCGAACCGTCCCTGTGTCCAGGGCCAACTTCCGCACCTCCCTGCCCTCGGATCTCAACGAAGATAGGCTCCCACGGCATGGTCGTTCTCCACCCGCTAACCTACATCCTTTCTTCAACTGTAATATACCTTCCCAACGCCTACTGTAACATAGCGCGACACCCAAATTGTATGGGAGTGTCAAAGAAGATCGGCAGTAGAGGTTTGTTCTTACTTTCCCTTCTTCCCTTACGCTCGATTCTAATCGCTCACTCACAAAGTAATCCATCCCGAAAGAGTATCAAGTGTATCTCTGATACCGGTATGCCCTATGTGAGGGCGTAAGCTGAAGATTTAGCAAGGCGAAGGGAGAGAAGAGATGCGTCGAGAATGAGCTGTGTTGATGACGAAGGGGTGTCCGGTTTCTGATCCTGATACAAAGTATCCCTTTGAGTTGACTAGAGTTCGATACAGCTCGAGTGACATACGTGGACAACAAGAATTGAATGGAAGGAAGAAATGAAGGTATCGGTGGGAACGATTCAGAAAGAAGCAGTGGGATCCGAACTACAAGATGTATGTCTGGTCACAGGCCATCATGATTGACTACGATAATCCGGTGGAGACTCGGTGGTATCCGGTTGCCACATCTGCTGATACATCATACGAATCATATCAGGGAATGAGGGTCCATGAACGACGGGAACCTCGGATGTTGCATGATCTGCGAAGGGGACAATATTCGAGTTGTTGAGAGTGTTATGTTCGTCGCTGATTGTGCGTACATCAGGCGGAGGAGGAACCTCCTCGTGCGGTTGCTTCTCTGTAGGTGCATCATCCATGATGGGCGCCGACGGTGTTAAAAGGCCTTCTGATATTGTCTGCGTTCTCGCCTTTGAACGAGTGGTGTCCAAAGGCAGCTTTGTTTGGGGCTCCCATTGGAAAGGTACGACTACGTACTGAGGGTCGAACTGAAGAGGGTCGGAGGAAATATGGGATTTCGTCTCCAATAGCGAACGTTGATGGGTCCGCCATCGGAGTATTAGAATGATGGCAAGGACCGATATGGCAACGAAAAGAACACCACCGACAATGGACCCGGCGAGAGCGGGGATTGGAAGAGAGCGATGACCATTCTCGAATAAAGAGATGCCATCAACAAGGATCTGAATCGCCGAAGACTGGTTCATCAGATCAAACGAAGACAATGACTGTGATCCTGTCCAACTCCCATCATATACATCGCTGCCCAGATATGCGCGTTTGCGCACTGCATTGTACTGTGACCAGATGAGCAATAATAACGTGTTTTGCAAGGGAACACTGACCTGCACGCCAAGAAAGGCTTTGATTGCATCCCGGAGATCTGAAGATAGGGAACGAGCTTGCTTGTACGCAACTGCCATTCCTCTCGCAAGCGCAACATCGCGCGAGAACAGATCAAACTTCACATCGACGTAAGGACTGTCATATGAAACGCACTCTGCGCCACAGCCCGTCAAGCCGGGTAGTATACCTCCAGGGCTTGGCCATCCATGGGTGGTTTCGTTGAATACTTGCATTATCAACTTCGGGAGCCTAGACACCATTAAAGTACGAAAAGCGTATAAATATCGTTACTCACATCGATTCAAGCTCTGCTTCTACACCGCTCGGTAAAGACGCAAGCAAGGAAAGTCCTTCAATCAAAAGGCCAATAGTGGATGTCCCCATTATTGGCTGAACAATAGTCACGTCTTTACAATGAAGAATCCTGGTCGTCGCGGGAAAGAGAGGGCCAATGGAAGGTTGCATCAGAAAATTAAATGAGTTCCTTGCTACCGAAACGTAAGTGTTGTTTGGAGGGTTTTCCAAGCTTGCTATCGTGGCTGAGAACCTTGAATTAGAGTTTATCAAGCTGAAGATGTAACTTTATTTTTATAGACCTACATGAAAAAGAAACTAAGAGAGAGATTAGAGCCATTCATTGATACCGAGGATAAGTCACGCACGCGGTATCATACAAACTAATAATGACATCATCTCGCGAATCGTTCTGGAACGGCTTGAGCAGAAAATTGCGGCAAAGGAAGTTCAACCAACCTGAAATGTTGCCCCTCTTAGTGTTTCGCCTCCGTCGCAATGTTGTGGTATATTGACATTCTTTGTGGGTATCTTCCCGGTGTTGATATCGCTTTCGGAAATGGTGTACTGATTTACATCATCCCAAATACTCTTCGCAAAGTCAAGAAGGTGGTCAGCCCCCGTAAAGGCGAGATATGCCCGAGCCAAAACGTATCCCAGTTCTCTAATTTTGTCAACAAAATGATGAATCATTAATGAATAAACTCACGTGTGCTTTCGCATCCGCTCGTCATGAACCAAAGAGCGGTGTCGGTGAACATCCAAGTAATTTATGAAGCTCTCTTGTAGGAACTGCAGCTTGGTCTCGATATTGTAGTTTGCAAGAACTCCATAGAAGTTTGGCAAGGTGACAACTATGAAGAGCAAATGATTCATCAGTAGCATAGAATGTAGAATACAATACCTACAATTATAATCCGCATTTGGCACGAAACCATCGGAATTCAGCCGATATGCTACTTGTTGTACTGCAGCCTCTGCAGCGTGAATACGATCCTGATCTGTATTGGTGACATGCGTTTCCTGCTTGTGGCATCAGTACGCTTCCTGTGTTCATGGCTAACGGCGTTACCCAAAGTGAGGTTGAATGCAATATCTGCATACAACTTTTGTGTGGAAACGATACGAGAAGCAGGAATACAGAATGGAGGAGCATTGGGCAGAGCAAAGAAGGTTCTGCAATGATTTTTATATCCCCGATGAGCTCATTACTGGCATCAGAAAACCGGCCCACTGTTGGGAAAGGTGATCCGATTGTCATTGAGAGAATGATGCATCAGACCAACATCATGCAAGCATCAACATTCTTCAAGATTCGAAGTGAATATGGTCTGAGAATTTAGAGAGTTTCGGCCCTCAAGTACATCTCAAACACTATCTCTACTAGTAATTATCTGGTTGTCAAGTTTCGTGTAATA